AGCAGAAGGGTCTCTAGTATCGCAACGGGGCCAACGCAGAGTACACACTGCCTCAGCTAGGCTCCCGGGACCCATGGTGACCTCTGCCAACGCAGCCCTGCCCCCGGAGGTGCCCTGCATGGCTGGACTTGGTCCTGGACTAGGGGCTCCTAGAGAGTCCACTTGGCACAGCGACCTTCGCTCTCCTGCTTTTCCAAGGGCCAGGGTGAAGCTCCCTCAGGGAGCAACACGGCTCCAGGTCGATCTGCCTAGTTCTCCAGAGTTAGAGCCTGACACGCAAGCGCGTGGGCAAGCCGCCTGCGACGGTGCTGCCGGTGGAGGGGACAACACAGGGCCCTGGGGTGCAGGAATGAGCCCAGCATGGGTGGCTCTGCAGAGTGCTGGTCTGGGGCGGCAGCCTTGGGAGAGGTGGGAGGTAGGGGAGGGGGCGGGCCCTCTGAGCTGCTGCAAGTCTTGGAGCACCACTCTGGCCCTGCCACCACAGGGTCTTTGTCACCTGGACACCTGCCCTGGGAGAAGTGAGGCTTGGCACCTAGTGTAAAGGGGAGGGTACTTTCAGTTCCTGGCATTGTCCAGGTCCTTGGGCCACATCCAGGACAGTGCAACACCCAGCAGGGGGATGGGTTGTCTTCCACTACATTATAGGCCACCTGTATCTGCCCAGGAGGATCTCCATGATCCTCCACTGTGACCCACACTGCCCTGGCCTGCCCCTTGCCCACCCCCATAGATGTCTGAGCCCTTCCTGATTGGAAGATCTGCCGGCTTTCATGATTCCAAAAAATGGGATTTTATGTTGGTCCTACAGTCAGAATAAAGGCCTGCCATGGTCCCTTGGTGTTGGGAAAAAAAAAAAAAAAGACAATTTCTCCACTGAGTGCATTCCCACCGTCCTACCCCACAGTTCTTCCTTAGCTGTGTTATGATGAAATTCTAAGGTATTTCCCCCCCCCCAAGAAAAACTTTTTATACTCCCCCCCCCCAAATTGTTTATTTGGAAGGCAGAGAGAAAGAACTTCCATCCCAAATGACTGCTATAGCAAGAGCTGATCCAATCTGAAGCCAGAAGTCAGGAGCTTTTTAGGGTCTCCCACAAGGGTACAGGGGCCCAAGGACTTGGGACAGCCTCTGTTGCTCTCCCAGGTTATTAGCATGGAGCAGATTGGAAGTGCAGCAGCTGGGACTCGAACCAGTGCCCATATGGGATGCCAGTGTCACAGATGGTAGCTTTACCTGCTACATCCTAGCATCAGTCTCATTTTTAAAAAAAGATTTATTTTATTTTCCTATTGGAAAGGCAGATATACAGAGAAGGAAATACAGAGAGAGAAAGATCTTATGTCTGCTGATTTACTCCCCAAGTGGCCACAACAGCCAGAGCTGAACTGATCTGATCTGAAGTCAGGAGCTTCCTCCACTTCTCTCACATGGGTGCAGGATCCCAAGGTTTTGGGCCATCCTTGACTTCCCTCTGAGGCCACAGGCAGGGAGCTGGATGGGAAGTGGAGCAGCTGGAATATGAACTAGCACCCAGATGGAATCCTTGCATGCATAAGGCTAGGATTTAGCCATTAGGCTGTCACACTGGGCCTAGACCCATTTCTTAAAGAAGTAATCAGGGCCTGGCCTGATAGCATAGCAGCTAAGTCCTCGCCTTGAACACACTGGGATCTCTTATGGGTGCCGGTTCTAATCCCGGTGGCCTTACTTCTCATCCAGCTCCCTGCTTGTGGAGCTGGGAAAGCAATCAAGGATAGCCTAAAGTCTTGGGACCCTGTAACCGTATGGGAGACCCAGAAGAAGCTTCTGGTTCCTGCCTTCGGATTGGCTCAGCTCCAGCCCTTGCAGCAACTTGGGGAGTGAACCATCAGACAGAGGATCTTCCTCTCCTCTTCCTCTCTATTTATCTGCCTTTCCAATAAAAATAAATGAATGTTTTAAAAAAAAGTACTAGATCACTCAGAACAGAGCAGGTGTCGCAAGATATGACTTTGAAAGAAGTTACTATTAACTTACATATGGTGTGGCTGATGTCCTTATAGGCCGCCTGTATCTGCCCAGCTCTGACAAGAGAAATACTTAGAGCATCACCTACAGCTTAAGGCTTCCACTCTAAACTTCTCCACCTTCTGCTTCTCCTTCTGAGTCTCCCACATGAGCAGCAGGGGCCTAACTGTTTGATCCATCCTCTACTGCTCTCCCAGGTGCCTTAGCAGGGAGCTAGAATGAGGACAGAACAGCTGGACTAAAAAATGCTCTTCTGATACAGGAGTGGAGTGAGAGATGGGACCTCCTACCCAGCCATGTGAGCTCTCCAAGCCAGATGGGGGAGTTCAGAGAACTTCCAGCCCAAAGTTGGGAATCAGGGACCCCCTGAGCCAGGCCAGTGTCCTCTCTCCTACTCCTGACAGCCGCTTTCCCTCTGTGTGTTATGGGCTTCCCTATGCGTGCTTCTAGAGTGCAATTCCAGCTGCACTGCCGCATTCCTGAAGGTTGAAATCCGTATTCTGACAGGAGGGGACATCATGGAAGGGCATGTGGGAGAGTAAAGAAGGAGGATAGGGGGATGGAGGGTAGCAGGTGGCAAATAAGGACCCAGAATCTGGGTTTGGGTACTCCAGTGCCACTAGACTCACTGTCTGCCCTGGGGTGGTCCCAGGGTCTGTAAAAATGTTGAAGTGATGGATCCATGCTTTCTGAAGCTGAATTTCACCTTGTCTAAAATGTCTGTGTCCGAGGACTGCCTGTACCTCAACATCTACGCACCAGCCCATGCCCGTGAGGGCTCCAAGCTGCCTGTGAGTGGGAGGTCAGGGACAGCTGGGGGTGGGAGGACATCCCTTCACTGCTGGAGGATGGAAAAGGACAAGATGACTGTGGCCTCCTGTGCCATGGATCCCGGTGAGAGGTCACTCCCTGTCAGGTTCAGGAAGTGCCTCTTCCCCAAGGAGGGCAGCTGGGCACTGGGCATGAGGTCCCATAGGCCTGGTTGCTGCCAGAGGTTAGAATGCATGCTCCCTGGAGGGCCAAGGACACCTGCAGCACCCTCAGGCCCAGGAGATGCCCTCAGGTGACTGAGAACTGCACTTGGACATCACCACAGACCTATCATTTGGATTTATGAGAATGGAGAACATCTTTGATTAACATCCATGTGGAATGGCAAGAAATACTCTCCTTCCTTTGCCATCTCACAGAGGGTTCTGGGAGCAACGGAACCAGAGTCTTAAACCTGGGGCAGCACTCAAAGAATGGGAGACCTAGTCTTCCTGCTAACATGGCCCAAGTCCTTGAGTCTGCCAGAGTTCTGGTTGCATGGGCAGCTATAGAGTCAAGCACCAGTTAATCAAGATTGCAGTCCAGATGGGCTTTAAGCTGAGGGGAGTTGCACAGTGCTGGTCTTGACACCCCTAGGTGATGGTGTGGATCCATGGCGGTTGGCTGGTTATGGGCATGGCTTCCATGTGTGATGGCTCTACCCTGGCAGTCTTTGAGGATGTGGTGGTGGTCACTATCCAGTACCGCCTGGGCGTCCTGGGATTCTTCAGGTGAGCCTGGGCCTGGGCTGGGAACTGAGGGAAGAACAGTCCTGGCACAGCCCTGCCATCCCTGTCCCTGACACTTCTCAGCACCGGAGACCAGCATGCCAGCGGCAACTGGGGCTACCTGGACCAAGTGGCTGCACTGCGCTGGGTGCAGCAGAACATTGCCCACTTTGGAGGCAACCCTGACCGGGTCACCATATTTGGCGAGTCTGCAGGGGGCACGAGTGTGTCCTTGCACGTGCTGTCACCCATGTCGCAAGGACTCTTCCACGGAGCCATCATGCAGAGTGGGGTGGCTGTGCTGCCCAACCTCATTTCCAGATCATCAGATGCAATCTCCACAGTGAATCCCCTGCCGTATTCTTACCCCTCAGGGCCTCATCCCCACCACTCCTGATCTGGCCCAAGCCAAGACACTCAGAATCCCTACAGTCCTCGTTCCTGACCTCTCATCTACAGGAACCCCAATGGCAAGGGCCTGCCACACTGGCCCGTCCTGGACCAGAAAGAGCAGTACCTGCAGCTGAGCACACAGCCTGCAGGAAGGCCCACAGACGCCGGTTCTGGGTCCAGACCTTGCCTGAGGAGATTCTGGAGCTGATGAGGGCTGAGCAGGAGCATGCGGATCTGTAGTTCCCCGTGCTGTAGTTGCCAAGGGATTCCAGAGCTGGTGGAAGTCGCCCTGATGTACCCACCACAGCCGCAAAGGCACCATTCATTCAGTAAATGAGTGTCCAGTCACTCATCCTGCTCTTGTATTAAACAAACTTATTTTGCACCTGCCACCTGAGGTTCATTGTCAAGACTGCTAAGAGCCCTCTTCGTGTGACACATTCTGTGTGGTTCCCGTGAAGCTGTGCCTGGACAACACCCCTTAACACCCAATAGGGCCTTCTCTGTACCCAATCCTCTCCTTCTAGGTCCTCCCCACTTTGCGGGAGGTATCTTGGGATTTTAACACACTAACCTTAGTTCCTTTATAAATACAGTCTTAACAATTATAGACTATGTCAGAGATGGGTCCCAGGGAGTCCCTCCGACCATCAACCAAGAACTGTAATAGATAAGGCACCATGGGATTCACTTAACCCTGGGTGCTAAAACCAAGGAGGGTTTCTCGGCCTCAGGGACAAGTCACACCTCCCATCCTTTTCTCAACAACTGTCCTTCACTCCATGGAAAGATCATTCCATTTCAGTAGGACTGAGGAGAGGGCCCCAGGTACCATGCAATGGCAGTGACATGGTGGAGGTTGCCATACCAGCATCTGCTGGCTCTTAGGTCTGCACCCATCCCCTCCCTCTAGACTGCAATTTGAGCCTGGCCAGCTGTCCCGCCTTCTCCCTGCCCAGGTTGAACTCCGGCCTGGGCGAAGACCAGCTCCACCCCTCGGGGGAACACCCAGGGCAGCCTCTGGGGCACATAGCAGCTACACACACGGACCTGCCTTGGACCATGGGGCTGCACTGGTTGTGTGCACAGCTCGGCGCCATGGCTTGCGGGCTTCTGCTGCTTCTTCTCCCAGGCCAGGGTGAGACTCCCCAAGGTGGCCACAGGGACCCAGGTTGGATCTGCAGTTAGAGCCCTTTTCGATGGGAGGGCTGGCATCTGGGAGGTAATGGGGGGCATGCGGTGCACCCCGAGTGGGCTCTTGAGACTTGGAGCAGGTCATGGCTGCCTGAGGCCAGAGGAAGAGAGGAATGAACCTGGCAGGATGCCTCTGAATGGAACTGGTGTGGGTCATCCCCAGGACAGGTGCAGGGGTAGGAAATGGAGCTGCTTCCCACCTGTACTTGAGTCTGGAGCTAGGAGCAGGCATAACAACGTAACAAACCTTCCTGTGGTGGAAGTGCCACTGGTCCCCTCCAGTGGGAGCCCAGGTCCCTAGACAAATATGATCTGAATGACCACTCCTGTCTTACCCACTACATCTGACCTGGGGCTAAGACCTTGGCCTTCAGGGCTAAGGCAATGGCCTGTGTCTGCCAGGTTAGGCCCCGTAACCTTTGATACAGACTTTATCCAGTCCTGGTATCTCTCCCTTATCCTGCAATTTATCTATAAAGAACCCATTAAAGAAGTGACACAAGAGTCTGCTCCCCCTACAGTTAATATCTTAGTGCTGGCCTGCATTTTGAGAGATTTTTCAAGAATTCACAAGCAGGACTCACATTACAAGCCTGGAAGTTTGAGGTGTCCTGATGTCAAACTTCAGTTGCAATGTTTTTCAGGAAGTCACAAGCCCTGAGCAAACAAATAACCAATGTACTCAAATGGATAGGAGCCCACCTGGGCTGCTCACCCCTGTCATTGACCAATCAAAAGAAGGCCATGCACACTGTGGACTAAACAGGTACCAAGATGAGTTGGCCTGGTGCTGCACAATCCCAACTTGAACTCTGTGCTTGAAGTAGGCCTTGCCTACTTCAGGGAGGCTGCAAATTAAGCATTACTGTCTGGCTCCTGGCTGCATTTTGCAATAATTGCCTACATCCCCCCCCCCCCATCTACCATGATGTCAGCTATTGGCTTACCACACATTGGGCAGGTGGTCCCAGTTTGGGGGGTCTACAGCAACTCCTCAAGCCAGTTTTGGGGACTCTTCTTTAGCAACTGTGTGGGCGGAGTCCTCAAGTCTGGATCCTGTCACCTGAAGTCCCCCTCATGTGGTACCTCACTATCTAGCTGCCCTTCCCCAATCTGTTCTTCCCAGGAAAGGATCAACCTTGGTCTGCCCTTGGCCAGGCTCTCGGAGGTGACAAGGATATTTTAGGAAGAAAGATCTGCATGTGCTACCTAATGACTCCTGCTGAAAATAGTGTTTGGCTTGGACCCATGTTTAGAAAGAATCATGGACAAGTCTCAGAGAGTTCCTCTGCCTCTTCTGTGCCACCTGTACCTGGCTTCTCTGCTAGGCCATCAAGGTCTCAGACCTTGTCCATAGCACCCAGGAATTTACTCCAGAACAGATATGCACTCTTTGACATGAGTGTAGGCAGCCCCTGTCCATGAAGAAAGGAGGGTGGCTAAATCTACCAAAGCCAAGGTCGTCCCTCAACACCGCCACACTGGGGACCACACTCCCAGCACCAGAACCTTTTGGGGGCACACCCTTAACTTTCCCATAGCATTGTGTCTCCTGGTTCCTATGAGTGTCTTACAATGTGCATTCATTTCATGTGCCAATCCTTAGCAAGGTTTTAACTCGATCTGCAAGAACTCACAAGTCCAAGGTCCCAAGTCCCATCTCAGACCCAAGGCAAATTCCTAATAGCTGTGAACTGTGAAATAAGCAGATCGAGAGCTTCCAAGACACGGTGGTACAACAGGACCAGAAACCTTCCTAAGACAAATGGGAGGAATGGACAAGAAAGGGCTCCCAGGGCCCAAGTCCAAAGTCCGGCAATCACTAAGTCCTGAAGCTCCCAGAATACGAACACGTGTCTGCAGAGCTCCATGTTTGGGAAACGCCTGGAAACCCACCCTGTTCACATACTCAATCAGGGCACTGACCTCTACCAATAAAGGGGGCCTCAAGCCTGGCTGGGGGGAGATGATGGTGTCAGGGTGTTTTTTGTTTTTTCTTTTTTCCTAGGAGGCTGCTTCCATTCACCTCCTGAATGTATGTTCTTTCATCTGTTTACTTAAATCCTGATCTCATTGTCTGGACTCATTTCTCACACTGTGAGAATAAACCTGGAATAAATCCATTTGAGGACCCTCTCCCTCCCCTACCACCAAACATATGGGATCTCCGCAAATCAAAGGTGACACTGCGGTGGCTGTAACTGGGGAAGCCAGGAGGCCTTTGCTGAGGAGGTGCACAGGTGGGAAAAGAGGCAAAGAGGGCCTGTTAATGGCAGGACCGACAGCTGACTGGCCACCCTTTCCCCACTTGTGTCCATGCTCTGAGGGTTGTCCCTTACTCAGTCACGGACCCACTCCCCATCATTACCAGGATGGGGTTCTCCCCTTTTATTTGGTGTTCTAGCGTGTATGGATCTCTGTCTGGCAGGCCTGAATGTGGAGAACCCCCTAGCACTCCCCATTTTGTGAGGTGGTCGGCAGGGAGGATGAGGTGAGGAGGCCACAGATATGAACTTGCTAATTTTGCAATGAGGAGAGAGATAGAGAGAGAGCTCGGTCTACACTGGACTTGGTCTAGGCTTTTGTTTCCATGTATGAGACTTCAAGTTGATATGGATAAAGGGAGCTAGGAATGTAAGATTTATTTAAAGATAAATAAATCTTCCCACCCAGAGAAAATGAGGGTTGCAATTTGCAAGATTCTGTGCTGTCCTTTTGTAGGCTCTGCCCAGGGCAGAGCCTAATTCACCATTTAAAGAAATCAGAGTTTTAGACAGGGCTGCAGCACATGTGGAGATCTCTAGGAGTTTCACACGGCCTGGTATACATGTCTGCAGAGCACCTATTGGCATCTGGGAAGTGTCATGGAGGCAGGTGCATGAGGGGAAGTGGGCTCAGGTGCATGATGGGCGGTATTGGACCTACAGCATAGAAGGGGCTGAGATTTGGGCGGTGCAGCCTCAGCCTCCCCTCTCTTTCTAGTTGCATGCTGGTGCCCTCAGTTTTCCTGGACTTGTACTGCGCACTGGGTGGGCTTAGAGGAGCAGGATTACACAGTTCCAGGGTCCCAAGAGCAGCATTTTCATTGCACAGCCTCACAGGCATTCTAGTGGTGGATCTTCGCAGGGGATTCTCCCCTGGAGGAAGGCTCAGCTTAGATCCCAGTCTTTGCCTTGAAATTCTGGTGGAAATCACCATCATGACTTTCCACTACAACCATCACAGGACTTGCATTCTGTAAAGTTAGCACCCCCTAGATGCTGCCAAAGTCTGCCAATGGCTCCCTTTGTGTCTTTGTGAGCAATGGCTAGAATTGTCAGAGTTTCAGCAGAAACCCTGGCTTTTACGAGCACCCTAGACCACTCTCTGGAATCACTCTGCCCTCCAAGGGCCTGTACTAAGAAGGATAACCAAGACAATTGCAGAAATGTCCCTGGCTTTCTCCTACAGGAATCTCTTAAGCCAGTGGGTTCTTGGTGGCACCGTTATTCTTTCTCAAGCAAGCTTTTTTGCCCTCTACACAGACAGACTGGAAAATTTTCACCTTTACCCTCTGGTTCCCTTTGTTGAATCTCACCATTAAACTTGTTGAGAGCAACTACCCATACCAATGCAGCTCAGCTCTTTCTTCACATTTTGCTTAGAAATTTCTTTCACCAGATATCCTGGGTTATCACCCTCAACTAACTTACTTTCTTTCTCTTTCTTTCTTTCTCTCTCTCTTTCTTTCTTTCTTTCTTTCTTTCTTTCTTTCTTTCTTTCTTTCTTTCTTTCTTTCTTTCTTTCTTTCTTCCTTCCTTCCTTCCTTCCTTCCTTCCTTCCTTCCTTCCTTCCTTCCTTCCTTCCTTCCTTCTTTCCTTCCTTCCTTCTAGATTTATTTATCTTTATTGGAAAGGCAGATTTACAAAGAGAAGGAGAGACAAAAAGAAGGAGATCTACCTATTGGTTCACTTCCCAATGGCTGCAACAACTGGAGCTGAGCTGATTCAAAACCAGAAGCCAGGAGATTCTTCTGAGTTTCCCATGTGGGTGCAGGGGCCCAAGGGTTTGAGCCATTCTCCACTGCTTTCCTAGGTCACAGGCAGGGAGCGCAATGGAAAATGGAGCATCCATGATACTAACCAGTGCCCATATTGGGTACTGGCACTTGGAGGTGGATAATTAGCCATTTGAGCCATTGCACCAGCCTCACTGATTTCTAACAAACCATTATTGTTGTCTGTGTAAACCTCATCCACATGTTGCCTACATTTCTATCAGAATTCTGATCAGAACACCTGACCAGTGTCTGACAATTTCCAACTCCTTCCTTATCCTTTTTGTCATCTGAGCCACCAACAAAGTCACCCTTATCCTTTCATTCACAGATGCTGGGTTTTCTAGCTTCATCCTCTTGCAACCTCTGCCTACTCCCAGTTGCAAAGCTGCTCCCACCTTCTTAGGTGTTCCTGTTCAGTTTTGCTTCTATAGTCAAAAGTCACCACACCAATTCACCTTTCCTCCCAAGCAATTCCCAGGCTTCCAGCTATCTGCTTTCTGTCTCTGTGGATATTCTTATTGTGGGCATTTCTTATAATTGGATCAATGAGTCAGCAGACAGGTGGCAGAGTGTGGGGGGAGCATTTCAAATAGGAAGCAGGATTAAACTAGTGATTGTAGGGCCAAGGTCCTCACTAATGCTGAACTGAGGACAGCAAAGAGGCGGTTACACCAGAAATCAGGGGTGGGGGTAAGGAGGGGCAGCTAGCGCGCTGTCGTTAGCTGCCCTCCTTGACTGCACCTCTTTGCCCACAGGTCAGGATTCCACAAGCCCCATCAGGACCACACACTCTGGGCAGGTGCAGGGGAGTCTGGTCCACGTGGAAGGCACCAACGTGGGCGTCCACACCTTCCTGGGCATTCCCTTTGCCAAACCGCCTCTGGGGCCACTGCGTTTTGCACCTCCTGAACCTGCTGAAGTTTGGAGTGGAGTGAGGGATGGCACCTCCCATCCAGCCATGTGAGCTCTTCCAGGAGTGTTCAGTGAACTTCTGGCTCTGGGGTGGGGGTGGGAGGCCCAGCTGTCCTTTCATCCACACCCATAGTCAGTTTTCCCTCAAGTCTCGTGCATTTTCCCAATGAGCTCAGGAGGGTGCAGAGATTCTACCAGCAGGGAGTGGTGTTTCTGGGCGCAATTCAGGTTGGCCCCAAAAAACTTTTAGGAGCCTCCAATGCAGCAGTGGTGGCTGCCTGGAGAACGCATGTCCAAAGTCACAGAGCCACATGCCATTGGACCTTGGTTGGTTCTTTTCTCTTAGAGAAGGAGACTGTTGGAGCGGTGAGATGTCCCTGAGTGAGAGTGGACACTTGGGATGAGGAATGTCCCACTGTCCTGCCCCAAGAAGTCACAACTATCCTGACATACAGCATCTGTGTGGGCTGATTCCTTGGGGCCAAGCCTGAATGGGTACCAGGATACAGCAGTGAGTGGCATTCTAAGGATCCCCTAAAATCAAGGCTTTCCCAAGTAGTTGGATCCTAAACCACATCCACAACAATGAGGTCTCCCTGGAGATTCATGCCAGCTTTCCTTGAACCCAGGGCCCTCTGATGTGGTGGGAAGAGCTGTTGGAGAAATGTCACATGTGAATGGGGGCTGGGCAGAGGAGGTCCAAGTTATCAGGGATACAATCTGGGTCAAGCATGTGATTTAGCCCCAGCCGGCTCCCACACTGACCTCCTGACATGGTGATCCCAGCTGTCCACAGGACATGGTTGCTATGAATACCCAGACTCAGAAGCTATTGAACCTGACCCTGCCATCCATTCTCATGTCTGAGGACTGCCTGTACCTCAACATCTACGTACCTGCCCATGCCCGTGAGGGCTCCAAGCTGCCTGTGAGTAGGAGGCCAGGGGCAGCTGGGGAGCGGGAGCTTGCTGGGAGGATGTTTCTTCTGTCGGATGATGAGATGGATAAGATCAGGATGGGCTGCATTACAGTACAACCCTGTGGAGAAGCTTCTGAATTCCAAGGCCAAGAAATGGGTCTTCCCCAGGGCACTTGACCCTTAAGAGTGAGTCTCATAGTCTTGGGTGGGGATGAGGCTCCCAAAGTCAGAGGCAGTGACCCTGGGTCAGACCCAGGAGTCACCGAAGCAAGCTGGAGGCACATGTGTCCCAGGCCTGGGCTTGGAGGCTGTCAAGGAGTTAGTTGAGGATAATCCATTGGGTGAGTGATGACAGTAAGGTAGTTGAAATAAAAAGTGAGCCTTGGCCTCTTCTGATCCATGTTTCTGAGGGACTATCTGAGGGACATCCCTTCTCTTTGTACCTCACAAGGAATTCTGGAAAGTAATGGAGCCAGGCTTTAATACATGAAGTTGAACAAAAACTACAGGAGACCTATCCATCTACCCAAACATGGCCTGGGACCTATGGTCTCACTAGAGTTCTGTGTATGGGCAGGTGCAGAAAACTGAACATTGGTTAGTCAAGGTAGCAGCTCAAGTGGGTTTTAGGTTTAGGGGTGACCTCTTGGCATTGACCCTGACATCTCCAGGTGATGGTGTGGATCCATGGGGGTTCCCTGACTATAGGCATGGCATCTTTGTATGATGGCTCTGCCCTGGCAGCCTTTGAGGATGTAGTAGTGGTCACTATCCAGTACCGCCTTGGCGTCCTGGGATTCTTCAGGTGAGCCTGGGTCTGGGCTGGGAACTGAGGGAAGAACAGTCCTGGCACAGCCCTGCCATCCCTGTCCCTGACATTTCTCAGCACTGGAGACCAGCACGCCAGCGGCAACTGGGGCTACCTGGACCAAGTGGCTGCACTGCGCTGGGTACAGCAGAACATTGCCCACTTTGGAGGCAACCCTGACCGGGTCACCATATTTGGCGAGTCTGCAGGAGGCATAAGTGTGTCCTCACACGTCCTGTCACCCATGTCGCAAGGACTCTTCCATGGAGCCATTATGCAGAGTGGGGTAGTCCTGTTGCCCCGCTTCATCTTGAATTCATCTGATGCCATCTCCACGGTGAGTCCTGGACACTATAGAAGCCCTGGCCTGTCTCTCAAGCCTCTGTTACTATCTTTTTATTGTACATGACAAGGACCACCAAGATGCCCCAGAGCTGGTGCCTACCCCGGCCTTGCTCAGGGGCAGAGAGGTCAGAATTTATATAACCTGAGACTTCCTGTAACCTGTCAAACTATCACCTTGATTGGTCACCCTAACTGGTACCTCTAAATATAGGCAAAGTTGGGACACTATCAAAACTGCACAACCAACATGCAATGTCACATGAGAGCCGGGGCATTTCTGTTCCTGTCAAGGCTTTGGATGAATTTCACTCCCTTCCTGCAAGGATGAATCAACACCTGCATGGTCCTTTTACAGATGGTGGCCAATCTATCTGCCTGTGACCATGGGGACTCCGAGGCCCTGGTGGCTTGTCTGCGGGACAAGAGTGAGGAGGAGATGTTGAACATCACCAAGGTCAAGCTAAATTCCCAGGGACTGATGGGGAGAGGGTGAAGGGCCCAAGTGTGGGAATTCCTTTCCATGCCTGGGTGACCTCACTGTCCTGGAGAAAAGTAAAAGTGAGGTCATTCTAACTGTAGTACAGTGTTGAACCCATTACCCAGGCTGAGCCAAAAAATGCTCCTGAACTTGAATGTGCCCTCAGGCCTTCAAGATCATTTCTGGGGTGGTGGATGGAGCCTTCCTGCCCAAGCACCCCTTGGAGCTGCTCTCCTCAGCCAACTTTCAACCTGTGCCCAGCATCATTGGAGTGAACAATGATGAGTATGGTTGGATCATTCCCTCGGTGAGTGCCTGGGGAGCACTTGTGGTGGGGAGGCCTCAGGCTCCTTGACTGGAGCATCTTCCAGCCCACACTTGAGACTGTCCTCTCACCACCCAGAGCCTGGGCCTCTATGCCACACAGAAGGAAGTAGACAGAAAGACCATGCGGACTTTTGTACAGAGACCACTGGCGCATATGGTAAGACTCCTGAGGTCCTGCCCAGAGGAGGGAGGCCTAGGACCTGCCTCCCCTACCCTGAGCCTACTGTCTCTCTTTCCCCAAGTCTGTCTAACACTGCCTGTTACCCATCACCTTGACTAGATGCTGCCCCCTGAGTTTGGGGACATGTTGATGGAGGAGTACTTGGGAGATACTGAGGATCCCCAGACCCTCAAGATCCACTTCCTGGAGATGATGGGGGACTTGATCTTCCTGATTCCCGCCCTCCAAGTAGCACATTTGCAGCGTGAGTTGATCCATGATTAATGCCAGTCTGGCAAGAAGGCAGCTCGGAGCTGTGAGTCCCTGGTAGGGTCTGTCTCATCCCATCCACCCTGAGTGACAGGTGCTTGATGTCCTTGATCTGAGCCAATCCTCATGGCCGATCTTGGAGGCAGAATCTCCCCTAGCTGACAGGTCAGGGATGGGTAAGCATGCTTCAGCGACACTCCCAGCTTGAAGTCCAAGATCATGCCCCAAGCTAGGCTAGTTCCCTTGCTCCTGTTCCACTCTGTGCTGCTCCCCCACTTAGTCCTGCTGGGGACAAGAGCTCATCACCAAGGGCGAGGCAGGAAAGCTTCATGTTGATGGTTTCCAGACAGTGGCTCCTCTACCCCATCTCCACCCCCAACACCCAGGTTGCCATTCCCCGGTCTACTTCTACGAGTTCCAGCATAGGCCCAGCTTCTTCCAGGATACCAAGCCGCCCCATGTGAAGGCCGACCATGGGGATGAGGTTCTCCTCATCTTCAGGAACTTTTTCAGGGCCACTCAGGGTGAGTCTTTCTCATTCCTCTAGAGATGAGATATGGCTATGGCCTGGTCCCTCGGGGAGCATTGCCCGCACTGCACAGATGAGGGGACCAAGCCTTAGAGAGTGGGACAGGTGCTCAATGTCACAGCTCTGAAGGCTGTGCCAGGACTAGAGCAAGAGCCTTCAGCCTGTACTCCCTCCCCTTCTGCCAGCCCTGGAGACAGGTGTTTCATCTGGGAATAGGGGCCCATATTTCAAAAGTGTATTGGTTTCTTAAATGGCTTCTCAGAATCAGAAAAAAGAAGGTTTTTTGTTTGTTTGTTTGTTTGTTTTTTGTTTTTTTCTTTTGGACCAGAAGTGAATGAATGTCCAGTGACATAGAGATTGAGTTGGGGAAAGGATTGTTGGATAAGAGGGAGGGCAGAGTTCCCAAGAATGAAGCGGGAGAGAATAGAGATTGGCCCATTTCTACTTGCACTGGCATGTGTGATCATGGTGGGGCAGTGGGCCTGCCCTGCCCTGAGCTGACCCTGTGTCCTTCCCTGCTGCAGTGACTCTCACTGAGGAGGAGGAGCTGCTGAGCAGGAGGATGATGAAGTACTGGGCCAACTTTGCTCGCACGGGGTGAGATGCCCCACCCTATTCCCACCTGTCCGTGGCTATGACCTTGATTTGGCCATGAAATGTCACTCTCAGAGGTTCCCTATGGGAGTGAGGACACCACATCCTGGGTTGGTAGGTCCCTATGTGCAGCTGAAATCAGAGGAGGCAGCTCTCCTATTCCTACAAACCGTCCCCCACCACTCTGGCCTTGCCCAACCCCAGAGAGGCTGCTCAAAGTCCCCATGGCCCTCCTTCGTACCTCTCGTCTACAGGAACCCCAATGGTGAGGGCCTGCCACACTGGCCCATGTTGGACCAGGAGGAGCAGTACTTGCAGCTGAGCACACAGCCTGCGATGGGCCGGGTCCTAAAGGCCCACAGGCGCCAGTTCTGGACCAAGTATCTGCCCCAGAGGATGCAGGAGCTGATGGGGGCTGAGCAGGATCATGTGGAGCTGTAGCTGCCACGTCAAGGTTGCATGAAGGACTCACAGGCCGGTACCCATCCACACCATCAGAAGAGCTGTTGGCTGGATTCTAAGTTCATGTGCCACTCACACTCATCCTTTTGTCTTTCCATTCAGCATCATGTGCTGGGGACTTGCCACCCTGTAAAAATGTGTACCACATACCAAGGTCAAATCAGGACAATGAATACATCTATATGGGTCTCTGAACTCTTGTCTACTAAGTCTTTTAAAAGTCAATGTTAGGTACCCTCCACAGTCTAGAACACTAGAATCATTTTGTTGTGTGCATTTTGCCAACCGTTATCCAACCATTATACAGTCTACCACCTCCTACCTTTATTACTCTGTAGTGATTACTATTGTTCTTTCTACTGCTGTGACATCGACTTGGTTAGGTTTTAAAAGTAAGTGCAGGCCCAACGCTGTGATATAATGAACTAAGTCACTGTCTGTGGTGCCAGCATTCCACGTGGACACTAGTTTGTGTCCTGGCTGCTCCCCTTCCAATCCAGCTCCCTGCTAATGTGTTTGGGAAAGTAGCAGAGATTGGGCAAAAAGTGTGGTCCCTGCATCTGTATGGGCTCCTGGCTTCGAAGTGGCATAGCCACAGTTGGTGTGGCCATTTGTGGGATGAACCAGCACATGGACTGTCTTTCCTTCTGTTTTGGTAATTGTGTCTTTCAAACGAATAAAAAATAAATCTTGGGTAAAAATACATCAAAGTGTGTATGTGAATGTTTGTCTTTCTGTGGCTGGCTTCTTTCATTCAACATGAAGTCCTCCATGTAACCACATTGCCACAGATGAAAAGATTCCATTCTTTGAGAGTGAATAACACTCCATGGTGTGTCTATGCCAGAATCCCTTACAAATTCATAAGTCAGTGAACACTTCTGGTGACTCCACAGCCTGCCACTATCAGTGGGTACCACAATAAACACCGCAGCACTGGTTTCTCCCAGACATCCTCTTTGTACTTCTCTTGGATGCTGTCCAGTACCAGAAGCGTGGAACACATAGTAGATGTAGATCCTGCATCCTGGCCTGTGAATTAGTGAGGACAAGAAGGTTTTCTTGGACTCGGTTGAGTCCTGAGCCAGGGAAGAGCTCCAAGTGCTCAGGGACAATCACACCTCCTGGGGTTCACTCCTGAACCCCCAGAGAAGATTGTGCCATGTCCCCATCTCTGGGGATTCTCTACTTGGTTTCCTCACTGAGAAGGCCTCCTGGCTTCTCCAAATCCAGCCCCTTGCTCCCTCCTCTCTGTGAGGATAGTGAGCTCAGTGGCTCCAGGACCGACGGGAGCAAGCAGACAGGGACAGAAGTGTGGAGGCCATTCACTGGCTTCATGGTCTGCACTGCAGCTTTGCTGGGTCAGTTGGGTTCCCCTTAAACCCAAGACCCTGCCCCGATTGGCACCCTGCCCACTGACCTCCCGCTTAGCTCAGTCCTGCTCTCCAGTTTGATTCCCTCGTTCCGCCCCGCCCCAGAAACCGACCTACCCAGGGCAAACTCCAGCTTGAGCAAAACCCTGCTCCACCCTCCGAGCACCCAGGACAGCCTCTGGTGCACACAGCTGCAGCACAACACACAGACCTGCCTGGGAAAATGGGGCCCCACTGGCTGTGCACGCAATTCATCGCCTTGGCCTTCAGGCTCCTGCTGCTCCTCGTCCTGGGCCAGGGTGAGGCTCCCACGGGTGGCCACAGGGATCCTTACTGGATTGGCTGTTAGAGCTCTGGAGCCGGTGGGCTGGCGGGTGAAATGGAAGGGTGTGGTGCCCCTGTGCCCTGGATCTGCCCCTAGGCTGAGAGGGCGTCCTGGTTGCCAGGTGCCAGAGTCAGCAAGAAGGGAGATACAGAGGAGGGAGTTAAGGGGGCAGCTTGTGGTGGAGGCCCTGAGAGCATTTCCTGCCTGTGTTTGTGGCTGACTTGGGTGCTGTGCCTAAGTGCTGTCTGCACGTGCTGTGAACATGTGGTTAGGGCTTCTCCCACTGTGTGCTGACTGCTGTTCTTGGTCAGAGACCCACAGCTGTCCTCTGAGCGGTCCCAGGGCAAGGTCACTGGTCCTGGGAGCACAGGGAGCGTTGGGCTACAACTGGTCTGAGGGGCCACAGGGTCCCCCAGCCCATGCACTTATCTTGGGGCCAAAGGCTTTTAAAAAAAACTTTATTATTATTATTATTATTATTATTATTATTATTATTAAATTAGGCAGAGTTGAGAGACAGGGAGAGAAATCTTCCATCCTGTGGTTCAGTCCCCAAATGGTCACGACAGTGGGAGCTGAGTCAATCTGGAGGCAGGAGCTGTCTCTGGGTTTCCTACGTGGGTTCAGGGGACCAACCTGGAGCACCAGCCACTGCATTCTCAGGCACATTAACATTGAGCTGGATTAAAAATGGAACAGCCAGGACTTGAACCCACACCTATCTGGGATGCTGGCACTACAGATGGAAGTTCATTGTATAATACCGTGGTGCCAGCCTCCCAAAGGCTTGTAATTGAAGGCAAAGCTGGCAGTGTCTTGTGCCCTGCCAGTGCTCTTGGGTCTCTTATCAGAAGCTCAGGCAGTGAGGGCACCAGACCTGGGTGTGTTTTGATCCTTGATACTCTGGGTCAAAAGGCCTACTCCCCCACCCGTTTACCCCCCAACAGTTTCTCAATCTAATCTGCCAAAAGGGATCCATACTCACCCTGCCCTCTGCCCATCCTCCCCCTCCACCCCCTGCTGAAATTTCACCTTTACCTCCCCTTGCCCTCACTCTCCAAGGTGGTTCAGTCTTTCTGGAGGGAAGGCTACCTGGCCTTTCATATGACTCTATTAATCAGTTACTTATCAATTTCTTTAAGGTTTTAATTATTGAAAGACAGCTTAATGAAAGTGAGGGAGAAAGAGATCTTCCAGGGGCTGGCTCACTCCAAAAAGGGCCGTGGCAGGTGGAGATGGGCTACATGGAAACCAAGAATCAGGAACTCCACATGAGTTACATGGGCCCAAGCACTCAGGCTGTCCTCTGCTGTCTTCCCAGGTGCATTAGCAGTGAGCTGGGACTCCCATGGGTGCTCTGATGTGGGATGGTGGCATTACAGGAAACAGTTAACTTATAGGCCACAGCCCTGTCTCTAGGACTCTAACAATATTTCATGTGGGTTCCATGTTCAGAAAGACTACAGCTGATTCTTGGTGTGGGCAAAGAGTCTCCCAATGTTGCAAGAAGGTTCAGGTGTTCCCTGGAGTGTTGCAGTTCCACATTCCTGAAAACAACACAAAAATACATCTTTGGTACTATTATGATGTGCTTATAAGTTGTTTTTTTCCTGGAAAACTTTTTTTAAAAAAGAAACAGAGAGATCAGCACTGACATGCAGAGGGTTAAGTTGCCACCTGCAGTGTCAGCATCCTGTAAGAACTCAAGTTTGAGTCCTGGCTACTCCACTTCTGATCCAGCCGCCTGCTAAAGCACCTGTGAAAGCAGCAGAAGATGGCCTGAGTGCTTTGGCTCCTGCTGCCACCCAAGTGGGAGACCTAGATGGAATTTCTGGCTCCTGGCTTTAGCTTGGGCCTGCCCAAGGTATAATGGCCTTCTGGAGAGTGAATTAATGAATTAATGAATGGAAGATTCTCTTATTTTTTCCCTCTCTTTTACTTCTCACTGAGTATAGTTCCTGACCTCAGCTGTGAAAGTCCACAAGGGCTTTTGGTCACTACAAATGGGCTCTTTCTGATCATCTCATTAGGATGGAATCAGGATGTTTCACACAGGAACTTCATAAAGTGAGTGTGTGTGTTGGTGTGCATCGTGTTCTGGACAAGGCTGAGCTGAGGATGGTAAGAGGGAAGCCACAGCAGCATTGTCTGGAGCAACTCTCACTGATTGTATCTCTCTGCCCACAGGCCAGGACTCCACAAGCCCCATCAGGACCACACGCTCTGGGCAGGTGCGAGGAAGCCTGGTCCACGTGGAAGGCATCAACGTGGGCGTCCATACCTTCCTAGGCATTCCCTTTGCCAAGCCACCTCTGGGACCACTGCGCTTTGCACCTCCTGAACCTGCCAAAGCTTGGAGTGGAGTGAGGGATGGCACCTCCCACCCAGCCATGTGAGCTCTTCCAGGGGCCTGAGGATCATCAGGTCCAGGGTGGGTTTGGGAACCTCCAAGTGCTAGGTCAAGCCAGCTGTCTTTTCATCCACAGCCGATGCCTACCTCTCAGGAATCTTTTGTGAGTCATATAGGAGGTTTTTATTCCAATGCGAAAGGTGGCCATGGGGAAGAAGCAGGAGCAGAGAAAGAGTACATGTGGGAATATGCTTTGATGACCAAGGGGAGGGTATTGTGAATAGGGGCTGGGATGGCTGTCAGGGTGGGAACAAGAGATATGGGCTGCAAGGGATTGGTGGATAGGGTCGTAGAGTACAGAGTCATGAGGTTACAGTGGATTGATGGAGAGCAAGATTACAAGTTTACAGTTGATTGACAAAGAGCAAAATTGAACCTAAAGGGCAAACCTGAAGGAAATTGAGACCTAAGGGAAGCAAATATTTAAAATGGGGTCGGGTCTAAAAGGGCAGGGGGCATTATCAATTTTCAGGGCCAACGTTCAAGTCATTCATCACTACTAACCATCTGTGTGCTGTGGACTTCCTGCGAGAACACTTTCAGTGGGCTTGCCAGGCTCCTGCCAGGTTCTTGGCTCAGGACTTGGGACTCTGAGGCTTTTAGTTCCAGGTGCTGAAGATGGAGGGAGAGACTCAGCTCCCCAAGTTTAGCTTCTGCCACATTCTTGTGCTGCCCTGGTGAGGGGGCATTGTCCTGGGTGAGTTCCCCAGGTGGTCTAGCCAAAGCTTGTAGGAGTCCCTGATTGCATCAATAGATCCTGCAGGTACTTAGATGGGCACCAGTGGAACCAGGCATGAGCACAGAGCTAAACCACGGAAAAGGATATTAGCCAAAAGACGTGTGTGTGTATCACAGCTGGAGGCAGGGCAGGAGTGATGAGTGCCAAGGATCCCAGGAAATTGGCCATCTCACTGTCTTCCCTCAGGAAGGGATGGGCATCCAAACACCCAGCGTGTGTCAGGGAGGCACCTGTGCTCAGGGCCTAACTGTGAGGAGGGACACACTGAAGTCAGCACCTGCAGGCAAAACCTGCCAGGAGACTCCAAGAGTAAGGTGTGCTATATCAGTCTCCACCTGCCTGGAAGGTCCCTGGAAACTGGTGCTATCCCAGCTTCCCAGCAGTTTCAGATGTGTATCTGGGACAGAAGGGATATGAGGGCAGGCTTAAGAATGAGCAGCATCACAGGGAAGAGCAAAGGAGAGAATCAGGGACCCAGGCTCTGGCTTGGGCCACTGTATGGATCCTGCACTAATGTCTGCTTGGGTGATTTCAGGTGTCCACAGAACCTCAATATAATGGGTGATGATGCTAAAAAACTGAATTTCACAATGTTGTCCATTCCCATGTCTGAGGACTGCCTTTACCTCAACATCTACGCACCAGGCCATGCCCATGAGGGCTCCAAGCTGCCTGTGAGTGGGAGGTCAGGGGCAGCTGAGGGTGGGAGGACATCTTGCCCTGACTGGAGGATGGGGAAGGGAAAGGTGACTGTATCCTCCCATGTCATGGATCCTGGTGAGCAGCTCCTCCCTGTGGGGTCCAGGAAGTGCCTCTTCTCCTGGGTGGGCAGCTGAGCACTGGGCATGAGGTCCCAGAAGACTGTCTGTTATGAGAAGACAGAATATATGGGCCCTAATGGACCCAGAACACCTGTAGCATCCAGCTGTCCAGGAGATATACCTAAGGGACTGGGGGTTGTAGGGTTCAGGACTGGGAAACCTCACAGTATTTACCCCGACTTTCAAGGTGATGGTATGGATCCATGGAGGTGCATTGGTTGTAGGCTTTGCTTCGGCATATGATGGCTCCACCTTGGCAGCCTTTGAGGATGTAGTGGTGGTCACCATCCAGTACCGCCTCGGCATCCTGGGATTCTTCAGGTGAGTCTGGGCCTGGGCCGGGCACTGAGGGAAGAACAGTCCTGGCACAGCCCTGCCATCCCTGTTCCTGACATTTCTCAGCACTGGAGACCAGCACGCCAGTGGCAACTGGGGCTACCTGGACCAAGTGGCTGCACTGCGCTGGGTGCAGCAGAACATTGCCCACTTTGGAGGCAACCCTGACCGGGTCACCATTTTTGGCGAGTCTGCTGGTGGTGTTAGTGTGTCCTCGCATGTGCTATCACCCATGTCGCAAGGACTCTTCCACGGAGCCATCATGGAAAGTGGAGTGGCTGTGCTGCCTGGCATCATCGCCAGCTCATCTGAGACGATCTCCTCGGTGAGTTTCCTTCACTGGTGCAGCCTTGACCTATAACTCCCATCTTCTCTCCTGGAGCCTCTGCTACTTTCTCTGTTGTGTCAAAACACATGGACCATCATGCGACTTGGCACTGCCCACCCAAGGGATGGCTGAGGGGCTCAGGTGTCAAAATCCACATGCCTGTGCCTCAGTAGAGTCTGACACAGTTGTGGGCCCTGAAAAGTGGCCCTGTGAGGTCCACCTAGTCTGTAACCAGACAACCAGGTCAGCTCACTGAGGTTGAGATGCTCCAAGTCGGGGAGAGAGGACTAGTGAGTGTCAAGGCTGCAACTGCACACCCATGAGACTGTTCCTGCCTCCAGCTGGGCCTTGGGCACCCTCCTTCTTCTCTTACATGGATGTCTAGCCCATGTGCTTCCTATTCAGGTGGTGACCAACCTGTCTGGCTGTGGCCAGGTGGACTCTGAGACCCTGGTAGGCTGCTTGCGGGCCAAGAGTGAAGAGGAGATCCTGGCAATGAACAAGGTGGGACCTCATTCACTGGGACAAATGGGTGATAGACTCTGGTGCCCTTCAGAGTCTCTGGGCTACCAGCTCATGTTCATGCCTTCCTCCCCTCCCAGTACTCGATGCATAGAGATGACCAAGTCCTGTAAGCCAGACATGGTACTCCATGTGTTGAGCTGTAAGGCCACTGAGTGATCCCGGGTTAAGGGAGAGTTTCAAGAGCAAAAGAAAATTCTGGATCATAAATCTTCTCCACTGCCCTGGGTGTCCCTAGGCCTTCAAGATCATCTCCGGTGTGGTAGATGGCATCTTCTTTCCCAGACACCCCTATGAGCTGCTGGCCTCTGCTGACTTCCAGCCGGTCCCCAGCATCATTGGTGTCAACAACGATGAGTACGGTTGGATCCTCCTCAAAGTGAGTCCAGGCTGAGTTCACAGGAGTCTGTCTCAAGGCCAGGCCTGAGAGGGCAGAGCTCCCAGGAGAACAACTCCCAACCTGAAATCCTCTGCTTGCTCCACAGTTCTTCGGTGTCAGACACACTGAGGATGAAATTAACAGAGTGGCCATGGAGACACTAATACATCAAACATCTGAGCAGTGGGTGAGACCCTTGGGCTCCCGGCCAACAGATCCCTGCCCCTTGGGGACTCCTGGAACCGAGACACACTGGCAGTCTGTGTGCTTGGGGATGGGGTGATCGCGAGCCTGCTCCTTTGCCCCATTCCCTGTCTTTGTCCAGGACATGGGTCAGTTGTCTCTCTCCCTGGCAGTGAGCTGATGATGACTCTGTTCCTGTTCCTCGGGCTAGATGCTGCCTCCTGGTATAAGGGAACAGTTGGTGGATGAGTACCTGGGGGACAACAAGGACCCCAAGACCCTCATGGCTCAGTACCAAGAGATGATGGCAGACTCACTCTTCGTGATGCCAGCGCTCCATGTTGCACATTTTCAGCGTGAGTTCACCTGCAGCTATGGCCACACTAACTGGGGTTCTGCTTTTACTGGCCAGGGCTGAGCACACAGCTTTTGGTTCGGGGAGGTATGTCATATGCTGGCTTCTATCCACATATGGCTGGGTCCCTCAGAGCCAAGTACCCATGTCCTTATTTAAGTTCACCATCCTGTTAGTTTAGGAGATGGACATCAGGGGACAGGGGAAGAGACAAGATTGTAGCAAGGCTAAGTTAGCTACATTGTGTCAATACCTTCCAGCTACAAAGTCCAAGACCAATACCTAACCTCAGGCCCTTGCCACTGACCTCACCTGGGACTCCACCAACACCACCTGAGTCAGACCAAGTGGGCATTGCTCTACTGTCCTCTTGGGTAGTATGAGAAACCCAGGGGAAGGGCCTCCATCCATCACCCTGTGCACTTGTTACCCAGGTTCCCATGCCCCTGTCTACTTCTACGAGTTCCAGCATTCGCCCAAATTTGCAAAGAACTTCCGGCCACCCCACGTCAAGGCCGACCATGGCGATGAAGTTGCTTTTGTCTTCAGATCAATTTTCTTTGGGAAAAAAGGTGAGGCTTCCTCCTTCCTAGGATGGGGATGCAGCAGTTGGCAGTCCTGAGGGGATGCTGTGCCCACTGCACATATGACAGGGCTGAGGCTCAGATGGAATTAAGCACTCCAAGTCTCACAGTTCCCAGGGCTGAGCCAGGACTGTACTGTGAGTGCCTCGAAACCCAGCTCTCTCCTCCTCTGCCCGACCCCATGATAAGAGTCTGTCCTGGGTACAGAGCTGTCTACTGAGTGATATGCCAAGGTCATAAGAGTGAAAACCTACTGGGCCAGTAAGAGGCCAAGTTCAGGTGACTATGAGGTCAGGCTTCATTTAGCAAAGAAAAAGCCAAATCCTTGTGGTCAGTAGCAGGTGAATTTCATATTGGCAGCCAAGGGTCAAGCTCCATTGGGTTGGCAAGTGTGGCCAAGGTGGGGCAGTGGGCCTGCTCCTACTTGAGCTGACCCTGTATCCTTTCTCACTGCAGTGACTCTCACTGAGGAGGAGGAATTGCTGAGCAGGAGGATGATGAAGTACTGGGCCAACTTTGCTCGCACCGGGTGAGACGCTCCAACCTCCCACCTCCCTGGGACCACGGGACCCTTCCCTGTGGGAACCACAGCAGCAGCCCGGTGTTCTGGGTCATGTGACAGCTCCCTCCCCAGTTTCAGGGCCCAGTGGCACATACATGGGTCCTAGCGACCAGGGACACTCTACCCATCCAGCTTATGATCTTGACATCAGGTTTTAACCTCAGAGGCTCCCCATGGGAGAGAGGGTAATACAGCCTGGATTGGGAGGTCCCCATGTGGATCTGACACCAGGCAACATAACAGCTTCCCGAACCTGGAAATTTATTTCCAACCCTACTGGTCTGCATAGTGGTCTGTCTGGACCTCAGGTAGGCTGCTCAGAGTCCCTGTGTTAACCCCTCCCTGACTTCTCATCTGTAGGAACCCCAATGGCGAGGGCCTGCCACACTGGCCTGTCTTGGACCATGAGGAGCAGTACCTACAGCTGAGCACACAGCCTGCAGTGGGCCGGGCTCTGAAGGCCCACAGACGCCAGTTCTGGGCACAAACTCTGCCCAAGAAGATGCAGGAGCTGATGCGGGCTGAGCAGAAGCACACAGAGCTGTAGCTGCCTGTGTCTAGGTGGGTGTCCTGGTCCCATCCACAGCAGTCACTTACCTGCCCTCCTTCCCTTTGGCATACCTTTGTGGAGCACCTGCTGCCTGAGGCTCTGTGTTCTTGCCCTGGGTTCCCTGTGTCAGTTGTACTCACACCATTCCCATGAGGCTGTGCAGTCACAACCTGCAGAAGCCCACTTTCCTCATCTCCAACTGGCATAGGACATGTCCTTCTCACCTCCTCTTCTTCCTCTTCCTGATCCTCTCCTCTCTTCCCAACCCCAGGCCATAGAAATCCAGTGGGAACTGCTTTGTGGGTTGTTGTCCACCCTAGGTGTCAGAAGCCTTCATATTCCGCCCAGCACATCCTGCGAGCTCATGTCTGTAAGCAACCCATAGGGGACCTGGGCACCTGGAGACACGGTGTCCTGGTGCCCTCAGGCTGCCATGAGTGGCCTCCTTCCACTCCCTTCATGTTGCCACAAATAAAGGCTCCCATTCCTTCAGCTGAGAAATACTCATCCGGGTAACCTTGCCACATACTCATGCAATTGTCTCTGTAACACTATCTTTCAAATAAAATAAATCTTTAAATATACACACACATAAAAGGTATTTGTTAGCCTTCTGTATATTGTGTTATTGGAAATATTTATTCAGATCTTTTGACCAATTAAAAAAAATCTATCCACTTGAGAGGTAGAGGCAAGGAGAGAAAGATGAATAAAGAAAGCAAGGGCTCTCATCCTCTGAGTCATGTCCCATGTGTTTCCTGAGGCCTGGATGCAAGAACTGGGAGTCGCAAAACAATCAGGTTTCCTCTGTGGGTGTCTGGGACCCAATCATTTGAACCATCTCCGTTGCCTAGCAGGAAGCTAGGGGTAGGAATCAGAGTGTGGGGGCCAAGGAAGTCAAAGGATACGGGACATAGTCATTCTCTTAACATCTTAGCCACTGTAGCAAAGGCCTACCGCGATCTGTCCACTTCCTATGTGTTTGATAAGTTGAGTTTTCTGTATCCTGGACTCTATTCCTTGCTAGATGCACAGGCTGAATGAATGTGTGTCCTCCTTCTAGCCCGCTGACCTGTGTGATGCTTCCTGGGGTTTGTACGTTCCCTCCCCATGGAGCAGCACTTCTCCTGAGCCACCAAGGTGTCTTCTTTCTGATCCTCATGAAGCACACGTGCATCTGAGCATGGGCGGGTTAGACAGACTGCCTAGGGAAGGAATGGACTCTCCGGGCAGGGCTCCCAACTCAGCTGTGTCTGTTGAACTCCTCTGCCTGGATGACCAGCAGGCTTCTTTGTCAAGGGGAGAAAAGAACTGGTGTCAGAGCAGGGTGGGGACATGGAAAACCCGGGGTACCACTAGCACTAGGGCAGGAAAGGGTCCCATGGATTAGGGAGGGGAGAGCAGAAACACTCAGGGGAAGGGCCCAGAAAAGCAGGGAGCTCCAGTGCGGAATCTGGAGTTTCTAGGATCTGGACAGTCACACCTCCTAGCCTTAGCTCAGAGCCTCCATGACACCCAGCAGGAAGTGCAGAGCCAGTTATCTGTGGGGATTTTAATCTCATGCCTCTTTGAAGAACGCCTTCTGAGTTATCCAATTACAAACTCATTGCTGCTTGCAGTCTATCCTGACACTGCAGTTGGCCATAACTCCAAGACTGAGAGGAGGGTCCTGGGCAGCCAGGAGAGAAGAGAAGCAGCCCCAGTACTGCGCCTGCATTGACTTCCACCAGCTCAGCTGGTTCCTGCTCTCCCATGAGATCTCCTTGCCCTGCCCCAAAGACTGCCCAGCCCACTTCCTGCCCACTTCAAATTTTGGCATGGATACATCTTGATCTGTACCCAGGGTGCCCAGGGCAGCCTCTGGGGCACAAGTGGAGCACATGAAGACATGCCCAGAACCATGTGGCCACACAGAATATGTACGCGGTTCTGTGCCGTGCCCTGTGGGCTCCTGCTGCTCCTAATCACTGGCCAGGATGAGGCTCCTGCATGCAGGCACTGGGACCCGGGTCAGATCTGCAGTTAGAGCCCGAGTTGGTGGAATGGCCGGCACCTGGGAGGAAGTGGGAGAGGGTGATGTCTGCACTAGAAACAACAAGCTGTGAGCTCAGCAGGAGGTTTTGAGTGGAGCTGCTCGGGATAAGCCATGGGACAGGTGCAGGAGAGGATTTAGGCCCATTCCTTTCTGTGCTTGTGGATGCACCAATGCATATGCCCAGTCAAAGGATAGTAATGAACCTGAGTGTTTCTGCCACAACTCTAATCAAGGAGGCCCCTGCGAGGTAAGTGATGGGCAGACTACAGAAGCCTCGGGTGCCAATTCTAGGTCCCTTCTGAGACTCAGGAGCACCTGTACCCCATGCTGCTGCCTAGGGAGTAGGTGATGGCCTACATGCATGGCCTTCTTAACAAAAGCTCAGGCCACACATGTCAGGCTCCTGGGGTGTGTCCTTCATCTTTTATCTGCTCATTCAGAAGGCTCAGACTGGAGCCAGCCTGCTAGAGCATCAGGTTAAATTACTACTTGGAGCACTGCATCCCACAAGGGTGCACATTCCAGTTGTGCTTGATCTACTTCCAATCCTTCTCTCTCTGCTAATGCACCTGGGAAAGCAGCAGAAGATGGCCCCAATGCATGGGCCCAGGCACCCATGGCAGAGACACAGATGGAGTTCCAAGTCCCTGGCTTAGGACTGACCCAGCCCTGGCTGTTGGGCTGTTTGAAGAGGAACCAGTAGACAATTCTGTCTCTCCCTCTCTCAGAAAACTTGACGTTTTAAAAAGTAAGTAGATCTGTAAGAAAATACAAAAATAACCAAAGCCCAAGGATTCTTCCTAAGCACTTTCCCAATCTAATGTGCCAGCAGCAGTCCACACTCTTGCTTCTTCTGGGCTTATCCAACAGGATCCCTCCCTCCTTGTCTTTGCTTGGTCTCTCCCAGGTGAACAGGACATTCTAGGCAGAAGGCTCAACCTCACACTTAGTGGCTCCCATTGAAATCATGTGTTGTGCTGGTTCCCATCTCAGAAAGAACACGGTGTCTCTGGGTATTCCGGGAGTCCAGCACCACCATGCTGACTCTGCAGATGCTGCCATCCTGGGTACCAGGGCAGCACCTGTGTAGAAGCTGCCCATGTCCTCTATGTGATCATCCAGCTCCAGCTCATCTATCACTAATACAGCGTAAGCATTGTTTCACTTGCTATGGCACTCTCTGTTTATGGTGCATGATGGGAAACATGTCAACAACCACCACAAAGGCGATCTTCGGCCTGGTTGCAGTCAGCCCAGTGAGCTGAGTTGATGGAAACTGAATCTCTAATGTGGGTGACTCCAGCACCAGAGCAGTCACTGTCTCCAGGCAACTTCTGCCTTGTCTGGAGTGCACTCTTCCTGTGGCAAATATGGAAGCTAAACCCAGGCTCTTTGTTGCAGGGTGAAGGCTGCCCAAGCTGCTCCTTCACTGTAGGGCTGTGTTTGGCAGTGCTTTCAGTTCTTTTGGGGTTGATATTTAGGGTTGCAGCCACTGGTCCTATGGCAATGCCAGCTGCAATCACTTGAAAAACTGCCCAATTGGCTTCCAGAGCAGTTGCACCATATTCCCTTGCCACTTGCACTTTGTGAAGGCTCCAATTTCTCCACATCCTGACCTATACTCTTGATGACCTATTGCCGGTTCTTGTTGATTTTACTGTGTTTTGAGTCTCTTTTACTCTGCATGCCACCTCTTGCCTCTGCCTCTCTTTTCATTTGCTTCTAATTGTGCTGATTTTAAAGAACCCAAGAACTTCCTTCTGGTTTTGCTAGGGTTGGTAGCACCATGTAGGTTCTGCTGATGGTGCCCTGGTGGTAGCAATGAATCATACCCATGTGCTCTGTGCATTTGTAACTCTATTCTAGAGGTGACTTCAGATTCTGGTTCTAGGTTTCAGCTTGCATTTTTGGCAAGGTTGCTATGCAGTGCTGTAATTCCCAATAGGAAATCTGTGGTGTTTGGTTGTATTGCTTCATGTGTCAAAATATGTCCTAGAGAGGGGACTACACCACCAGTATGGGGTCAACTGGTGGGAAGTCCCTACCTGATCAAGCCACCCTGCCCATAGGTGCCAGTTCTGGACCTGGTATCTGCTCCCAGAAGATCCAGGAGCTGATGAGGGCTGAGCAGGTGCATGTGCAGATGTAGCTACCACAAAAGATCCTTGGGAGGACTCATGGGCCAGTGCCCACTTGTTCTCCTCTGTGAGGACAGTGATTTCAGTGGCTCCAGTATTGAGGGGAGGGTGTCATGGGGCAAGCAGTGACAGGGACTGAAATGGGGAGGCTATGTTCACATTTGTTGCCTGTGGGTCCACTTTTGATATCTGCCAGGGTAGGTTCCCCTTGAACCCCAAACCCCGCCCAGTAATGCTCACTCCGCCCAGTCCCTGCCCAGTACAAATTCCAGCTTGGCAATTGCCTTGTTCCTCCCCTACAGCACTCAGGGCAGCCTCTGGGGGCATACAGTGGCACACACACGGACCTGCCCGGGAACATGTGGCGGCACTGGCTGTGCACCCGGCTTGGCAGCTTCGCCTGCGGACTCATGCTGCTCCTTCTTCCAAGCCAGGGTGAGGCTCTCACGGGTGTCCACAGGGACCTGGGTCAGACTGGCAGTTATAATCGGAGAGCACGTGGATGGTGTGGACAAATGTGAGGGTGGGTGGTGATGGGACTGCCCCTTGTGTCCCTGTGTGCCAGGAGGCTGAAAGGGGATCATGGTTTCCAGGGACCAGATGCAGTGAGAAGGGAGACCAACAGGAGGGCGTTCAAGGGGCCAGCTTGTGGAGGAGGGGCTGAGTAGTTTCCTGCTGCCTGTGTTTCTGCCTGATGTTGCTGCTGCCTGCAGGTGCTGTGAACATGCAGTTAGGGTTGATTATCAGTTGGCTGCTCTTGCCCAGAGACCCCCAGCCAACTCTGAGGGGTCTCTGAGGCAATGCCACTGGCCCTGGGAACACAGGCAGCATGAGGCTGCAGCTGGTCTGAGGGTCCACAGGGTCCCCCAGCTCATGCACTTTTCCTGGGGGCAAAAGTTCTCTTTTCTTTTCTTTTTTTTCAATTGTTTGTATTCTTATTGGGAAGGCAGATTTAGTGAAAGAGGAGAGCCAGAGAGAGAAATCTTCCATCCTAGGGTTCATACCCCAAATGGCCACAACAGCAGGAGCTAAGGATTGGAGCCAGGAGCTTCCTCTGGATTCTTGCAGGGAGGGCGGAGGGAGGTGATGCAGTGACCAAGGACTTGGGCTACTAACAACTGCTTTCCCAAGCACATTATTACTGAGCTGGATAGGAAGTGGAGCAACCAGCACTTGAAGCAATATGGGATGGTGGTGCCACATGCAGAAGCTTAGCCTGTAACACCATGCTGCTAGCTCCCCATAGGCTTGTAATCGAAGGCAAAGCTGATGGTACCCTGTGCCTGAGAGTGCCCTTGGGTCTATCTCAGAGTTCCGCCTATGTG